TCTTTTAATTGAACAAAATATATCTTTTTTAAATAAGTTTAAAGTAGACCTTAATCTACATATATAAAAATTCGTGTTTAAAAATTAAAATTAAAAGTTTAAATGTTTTAAAGATACATTAGTAAAATTAGTAGAAAAAAATTCATATAGGCATTTAAATACGATTGCCTCTGATTTTCACGTTGATAAAGTTGTTCAGTAAACTTTACGTTATAAGTACACAAAAAATTAGCTGCATATACGCACATATGGAAAAGTTATGAATTTTTATTTATCGCGCTGCATGGCTAAATCGCGAGCGCTCGTATATACATAAGTAAGGCATTGTCTACCCACTCAAGATTTTCGTACAGATCTATGCTCATAATTTTTAGTTGAATTTAGTAATTGTTATAAATATTTTAACATGTATTAAATTTTTTATAGGATTAATAATTAATAACCTATTCATAACAAATTATGAATTAAATAATAGATAATCCTTTGCTTTGTAGGTTATCTTAATTTTATAAATTAATTAATAATCCCTTGTTTTGCATCTTTTTGAGGAAACTCAAGAATCTAGACATAAGGATTTTAAAAAATTGTTATATAATATATTATGTTTTCGAGAAAAACAAATCGAAAATCAACAAACGAAAATATATTTCATCGTCTTTTAATATCGTCTGACCCCCTAATAACGTTACTAAGAACGGCTACTTAGGAGAAATACAAAATTTGTAAAATATGAGGAATTATTATAGGAAAAATTTTTAAAATTTAAATTATGTTTATTTATTTCTTAAAGTGTGCTGAGTATGTGTATAATATGTATTTATTTACAATAAAAAAGTTATTGAATTATTTTCGCCATCATTTCACCGCGAACATTTAAAAAAGGCATTTAAAAAATAAAGACCTTTATTTTTTAATTAAAGTATAGTTAATTATGCCTATTAAGTCTTATTTAACACAGTTAAAAATAGAAAAATAAATATTTCATGCAATAAAAAAGTTTGATTTTTTCCTTAATTGATGCTTTAATTAGGACCACCTAAAACGCATTTAAAAATTAAAATTCGTTATATTTTTCAATTAAAATAAAGTTAATTATACCTAATAAGTCTTATTTAACAAATAAAAAAATAAATATTTTTTTGCAATAAAAAAATTATGGGGTTATTATAATAGATATTTATTTATTATTTATTATTATTATACATTATAATGCAGTAAAAAAGAAAAAAAATGGATATTTATTTGTTATAAAAAAAGTTTGTGAATTATTTCTATAAAACAGTGCTTTTTGATAATCTAAAAACGCATTTAAAAAATAAAAACCTTTAAAATTAAAATATGGTTTATTATACGTAATAACTCATTTAACATATTATAAATAAAAAATTAATATTTACAAAAAAAAATACAAAACAGTGCTTTTTGACGTGCGTTGCAGCACAAAAACAGAACAGTAAATTAAAGTTGTCTTAAAAAGTGTGTAAATTCAAAAAATGCAAAAATATACTAAAAATAAGAATTTTAGTGTCGTTCCAGGAAAAACCGAATACCCTGTATAAATAAAAACATAATATAAAAAAAATTACTGCATCAAGTTAAAGGTGCCGACATTATAGGGGATCACCCTGCAGATACTAAAATTTTTACAAATATATTTGCAAAGTATATATGTCTTAAAAAGTGTGTAAATTCAAAAAATGCAAAAAAATACTGAAAATAAGAAATTTAGTGTCTTTCCAGGAAAAACCGAATACCCTGTATAAATAAAAACATAGTATAAAAAAAATACTGCATCAAGTTAAAGGGGGCGACATTATAGGGGATCACCCTGCAGATACTAATTTTTTTACAAATATATTTGCAAAGTACATATGTCTTAAAAAGTGTGTAAACTCATAAATGCAAAAAAATACTGAAAATAAGAAATTTAGTGTCGTTCCAGGAAAAACCGAATACCCTTAAAAAATTTCTTTTTTTTTATACGTAGGAGAAAAGTATTTTTTTCTACTACCTTAATGGAAAACTTAATTTTCCACCCCCGAGCGAGGGAGGAAAATGCCTCTTTTCCTCCCCGGGAGGAAAAAATATTTCCTCCCCGGGAGGAAAAAATATTTCCTCCCTCTATTTTTTTTTAACAATTTTACATTAGCAAGAGTTTTGTACCTTGTCTAGCCTTATTTGATTTTGTACGAAAAAGATTTACTCCGCGCTTGTTCAACCATTCTTTGTTTAGTTTAGTGTTTTAGCAGTGTCAACGTTACAAAAAAAACACATGACTAGGTACATTCCTTTTTATATCGCTTTTTCGATTTTTGAGGAAGAAGATTAATTTAAACTACTCTTGCCTCCAGCAAGATCTTGCGGCAGGTCTTCTTCGCTAAAACTCATTTTTAAAACGTAGGAAGAATTTCAAATTTATGATAACCTGACAGCTTATAAAAACTGTTATGTTTGTTTTACCAAAAATACCATAGCAACAAAGCGTTGTCAACACAACGTCGGCGACGCAAAACCTACTTAATATTTTGTCATAATAATTAATACCGGATTAGTAAAAATAACCCTTAAAATGTCTTTAAAACCGTTAAAATTTAATAGAAAAAACCATATACATACCTCAGGAGGAAAATGCGTTTCCTCCCTTGAATATTTAATGCCCTTCGCTTCGCGTCGGGCATCAAACTATTCACGGGAGGAAAAGCATTATTTTCCTCCTATGGTATGTAAATAGCTATTTACTCCCTACATAACCACGCTTTTAAATTTTTTGGGACACAAGTTGAAGGGGAGCGACATTATAGGGGATCACCCTGTACATACCATTTCTTTGAGTAAATTAAAGATTAAATATTTTTTTTCAAATGTAGACAGTTGCCAACAGGTAAAAATAGCCAAGTAAAATTATTATTTTTTATCATAACAGCTATTATTTTTTTCATTTTAAAGTACAAGTTGGTAGGTAATATTAATAAAATTGTTTTATACTGCTAGGTTTAAGATAGGATCTATCGTCCCAATTATCACATAAGGCCGTATCTCAAATTTAACAATTTTACAAAGCATTTTAAAGATTAAAAGTTTTTAGCTAATTTAAATAAAGTATATTTAAAAAAAAATGTCCCACTAGGTATTACATTAAATGTAATACATATTAGCACATTTTTTTATTTGGAAAAATACGGTAGTGGATAGAACTTGCATAACTAAGAAGAAAAGTTAATATGAATTTATATGCTTTAAAATTTTTGTTTTAAACATTTAAAAAAATTTATCAACCGACGAAAAATATTTATTTAAAAAAGTGTCGGACTCGATAATTATTTCTTATAAGATCTACAAACTTTATTATGTTGTCCACTTTGATAAACACCCTTATTAATTCTATAAAAATATTAATTTTAACATTTTTATGACGAGAGAAAAAATTATATTAAAAAATACGTATGTAAGTAGGTACTATTTTTTTAAATTCTTAAATTTTGACATTTTATTTTTTAGTACCTTTTGTAGATTTATTACAGTTTATAGATTTAGCCACAGCGCAATTTGAGATTATAACCCAACACATAAAATAACAAAAACAAAATAAAAATATTAAATTTGGATGTCTTACACTTAAAATAATAATTATTATAATTTTAATTTGGAAATAATATAATAATAATACACGCAATATTCTCTCCACTCAAAAAATATTAAATTATTATTATTATTATTAAAATATTACCAAACATAATTTAACATAATAATATTATTAAACAATGCAAGTTTAATAACTAGTTTCGAACGTCGAATGTGCCGTACTTATGCTTGGCGAACGAATCGTGGTTACTAAGTGTTGCACATAACAGAATATTTACTTTAAGCGTTTCGAATTAAAAAAGGTCCGCATGAGCAACGGAGAGAGATAACTAGACTAAATCTATTTTTAGACTCGAAAATCTGGCAACCCTGTCGGAAGTGTCTACGATGCAATTGTCTCTATATATGATGGAAGTGACTAAGTCACGGCCATAGTACACAAATATTTATTTGCGAAATCCTTTCCCCTCTCTAGAGATTCGGATTACGTAGGTTCCCCTTCACTTATATATAGTTTTAAAATGCTTGTATAAGCCTTCGTTCATGTGGAAGTTAGGACGCCCTGTTTATACTACGGAAGTGACAACTTAACAGGCATCGATATATATATATATATATATATACCTATATATCAATGTCATAAATTTGAGTAAAAGTGCAAATTTCTTTTTCTTTTAATAAGTCGCACTTTCATTTAATAAACTATCTCAATGATATAATACTTACTTGCTGACAGTTATAATATCTTTGATATTATAATATCAGTGGATATTAATATCTCTTTTACCTTTTTAATAACAAGATGTTGCAAATTTAAATCTAAAATACAGTGTTACATGAAACGAAATTCTATAACTATCTAGCGTTGAGTTATTTAAAGATTTGCCAATTAATCAGCTGGCATTATAATATAATTAATTTATATTTCTTAAAAAAATTGCAAAAATATTTCGGATTAACTTGAGTGTGATGCAATTTTTAAATTAATAGTTATCTAAAAATAAAATACCTATGTATGGTTATCTACTAATAAAAAATAACATTTAATTTGTTAAGTTGGCGTCCCTCTTAAACAATTGTTTTACTGGAACAATTGTAATTCGAAACGACTTTGACTTGTGTTTAAAGCATACAACCACTTTGCGCTGCGGAGCGCGGTTTTCCGGAAACGTGCGTAATGTAAATTTTACCGCCCCCTTAGGACTGCATGTGTGCCTAATCAAAATAAGGGTGCGGGTATAAATAGTTGTAGAGATAACTACTAAAAGGGTGTGTAAGGTAATTTTATTAAAAACGCGATGAATCATAAGAATCTTTTTTTCCTCTAAAATTACTTTAAAATACACAAATATTTTAAATGTTGAAAAGTATTGCAAATAAAGCATTTCTACAAAATGTCATTGTTTTACAGATAAAACATGGAGCTGGACAAGGATTTTAACGCAAAAATATCCGGATACTTGGAAAAAAAGGGGAAAATGGTAAATATGTATAGCAAAATAAATCTAGAGTATAATGTCAAAGGTGTAAACCAGTCTCTAAAAATTAATTAGTCAAAAATGTCATAGCGGTAAAGGAGCCACTAATAATTCTCGTCAATAGCAATTTGTATCCCGAACATTTAGCAGTCAATTTCCATGTAAAATTGTCCCCTGAATCCGAAAATGTCTTCAAAAGTTAAAAAAAGTAGAACAGTTTTTGAGATATAGTCAATTTTCCATTTAATATATCTCAAAACCTACTTTCATAATTTTTAACGGTATTTTCGGATTTAGGGGACAATTTTACATGTGTCCCAGAAAGTCCACTCAAATTTCTTAGATTTTTTGATTTTTATTACTTATGTTAATTTTTAACACAACAGAATCTGAAATATGTTATTTTTTACATAACTGCAAAGTTAATTTAACAAATCATATTGTGTCAATTTTTTTAAATGGTTATTTTAACTTAAACTGATAATTAATATGATTTAAAATCTGTAACTTTAACATAATTAAATACGTTAAATTTATTTATACTGTATTTATGTTACATAAAAAAGTGTTAGTTTAGCATATAACTTAAACTATTGATTTTACACAAATAGTATGTCTTCATTTAATTATTTTAATTTGTTATTTTAACAATATTTTTTAATAAATTTGTACATTATTAATTGTTTATTTTTATTTATTTTAATAAAATATTTAAATTAATATAAGAACATTGGTTTTTGGGCAAAAAATAAAACATGTAAGTTTTTAATAATAATGATTTATTATACTACAACATATTTAAAAAAAGGCCAGCAATGAAGCATTGGATTTCACTAAAATTGCACAGTCCAGTCCTTTTGTGTTCCAAAATAAAATACAAATCCATGCTATAGGGTAAACGGTATTTAAACATTTATGGTTATACAAACGTTATGTAATTAAAAAAAAACATTATAATAGCAAACTTACCTTTAAATTTTGTTAAACATACGCTATATAAACTTAACCTTACAATTTGGAACCTCTAATCGAATTAACTATCATCAACCGACTAAACGCAGTTAGAAGATAAAGGGCATTGCAGGGTACCAATTTTAATCGAAAAAAGGCGAAAATTATCGAATTAGAAGAATAACATTTATATTTAGGTCGAATTAAATAAAAAAATACTCAATTGTTTTAATTAAACTTTCTGTACCTACTCAAATATTTAACAACTATTTTTGAGTTACATAGATTAACACTTGTTTAGAAGTAATTTAAACTAATGTATTATATTGAAATTAACATAATTTTCTCGTCACATTAACTATATTATTATACTAGTAATATAATACTACAATGTACAAAAAAATTATTATTTAACATTCTTACTTGTGTAGGACCTTTTAACACAATAATGTTTGTTAAATCGATTAAAAATTATAATAATTAAAATCCTAAAATTTCAAAAGATCTTTTGAAATTTTAAGATTTTAATTATTATAATTTTTGTATTAAGTAACATATATCATTTATGTTATAAACACTAGGAAGTTTATGTAAATTTTTACATTTTTTATTTATCACGCATTATTTTTAACATAAAATTATAAATTTTAAACTGCGTAATTAGTCGACTAATGATCATTTTTGACTAATTCATTTTTAGAGATCAGGTACCAAAGTTTGGTAACCAAACTATTCTTTTAAAAGGGTTTAAAATTTGTCGACAAAAAAACGTCTAAACTCTATAAAAAGTATAGTTTGGTACATTTAATGTTCTAGATTATTGTACTATTAATTTTCTCTATATACAGAAAGTAATGTCTTCCTACAAAAAATACTGGTTTGTATTGGAAGATCGACTGCTACTCTACTACAGGTCCAAGGACGAATATGAATCTTTGTATCCCTATAAAGGTTACATTAATTTGGGACCACCATGTTCAGTGAAACCATGCTCATCACAATCTGGTGCTGTATTTCAACTCGAAACCAGACGAAGTACAATTACACTGGTAAACAATTACTTTAACGAAGATTTTAATTTTTTGATACCTTGTATTTTTAGAGGGCAAGTGATAGGGATGACCAAAACCGATGGATGAAGGCGTTAATGTCTTCTTTAAAACCAAATGTACCTTCACCTGCTAAGTTAAATCATTTTAGATATTCCATGGATGAAATTACGAAGCCTGAAGTGACTGTACCCCAGGTTGGTTGATAAAACGAATCTTAAAACAAAGCACAAACATTGTTTTTTTAGGATGTGGATGTTTTAAAAATCACAGAAAACATACCGAGCCCTCCCGAAACTCCCAACGAATATATAATCAAAAAAATACAAAAAATGGGAGCAAAATCGTACACAAACTCAAACAACAGCATCAACAATGATTATCAAACCTACGAATCAACCCCGAAACGCCACTCGTTCGCCGACAACTCTCAATCGTTTCAACTGAAATTTGCGCAGGAAAAAAAATCTGGAAGCACCGGAAAATTACACTTAAATTCCTCAGTCAGCCATGCAGCGAAAAGTTACTTTAGCAGAGGCAGTTTTAAGTCTTTAAGCATGGAGAAATTGCCCAGTATTATCATTGAGAATGACCAATATCAACCTGTTAATGTACAACCTGGTGTTAACCATAAAGAATTTTTTATTACCAATGATATTTATGCCACCAATCCACTAAATTATTCCGAAATCACTTTTAAGTCCTCGGAAAACATATACCATGAGCCCAAAATAGACCATAACGATAACGAAATGAAAACTATTTACACTTCAATACAAGATACCACAGTGGACCCTGATATTGAAGATAATCAAAAGAAGAACAAGAAGAAAAAGAAGGAAAAACCTTTAAAACCAAACAAAGAAAAGTTGACCTTAATAGACCGTGTGTTTAAATTAAAAATAAAGAAAATTAAAAAGGATGAAGACCAACAGGAGGAAAATGTTTACGAAGAAATACCAGTTCCTGCTTTATCACCAACTGATCAAAATACAATACAAATTCTTCACGAAGTGCAGCATATTTTGGAAAAGAAGAAAGAGGCCTTAAAAGTATGCTTTAAACATAATTTTACCTATTGTTTAATGTTGTTATTTTTAGGGGAAACTAAGTTCAGGTTCAGATAAAATGGAAATAAACGACATCTATGAAACCTTCGACGCAATACATACAGAACCAAAAGAGGAGTACCCAGAAGTGCCCCCGAAATCCCAGAAGCAAATTACCCTCTCCCCATACCACGACGTCCCCAAAAATAACCTTCCCATCAACAAAATGATTCTACCCCCGAAAAGACGCGAAATGGTTTCGCAAAAAAGCGTCGATGAAATCCTGGAGGACCTGGATAAGGAGCAAATAGTTGAGCAATCGACACCTCGAGGAAAAGTGAAGAAATTGGTCAAGCAGTTTAGCACGAACACATTGCCTCCCACATTGGAGGAGGTTGTCATGAGACACAAAAGAAGGTCTGAAGTTATTCCCAATAGGTATTCCGATGAGTTATCAATACTCCTAGAACAACTGGCCCAAGTCACCACAGCACCTTTACTACAGCCAGGAACTACGAATAGTTTGATAAGCCCCAACCTTACTGATGACGAGGTAATTGAATTTTTTTAAGTTTAAACTCTCTGTGATGCCGCTCCTTTGGATTTCAGTTGCTGAGATTACTACCCATACGCAAAAGAAGATTTTCCGAACCTGATTACGACGTACCAAGGCCTCATAGGTCTTTGATCAATATTCCCAGGCAAGATACCGAGAGCCCAATAAAAGCCACGAGATTTTTCGGGGAGGTACTTTCTTTTGAACGCAAGGAGTAAGTTTTTTACTTATTAGTTTAGGAAAATAGGCACCATCGTGAATTATTATGATGTTAATGCCAACTTTTCTCAGCAATGCCACCTGTTTGGCACTTATGTGTACTTATATATACTTTATTTTTAGTGACAATTTTTCTTCGCCAAGGTACTCAAGCATAACTCCAGATTCTTTAGAATCCGAGTTAAACATAAAAACTCACACACACCAGCCACTGAAAGCGGTACTATCTCTCGATGAAGACCCATCGTACTCATCTCACACGTACCATCAAAACCAAAAAAACACCCATCAATTAAAAAAACAACGAAGTCTTGATATAGAGCAGGAAATGTTCGTAAATTCAAATAGAACCTTTTTTGATTACAATAGAGAATACGTGGTTAACAATGACGTCTACGCACAACCAAAAAAGAAGAATCACTTGTCTATAAACTATAAAAACTTGGCTGTAAACGACAGTGAAAAAGTCGATTTTTTTGTGGATTCATTGGAAATGAATTTGGAGTCGAAAACCCAGTTTTAATTTATTAGTAGTCATAAAAAGTATTTTAAAATATAGTAAATTATAATTATAATGTAACACAGTTGAATAAACCATAGTTTTTTTTAAACTTTCACCAAAGATGTGCAATAAATTGTAATATAATTTAAATAAAACCTTTATTATTTTCCAACATAATATGATATTTAACAAGTGTTGATCATGCGTTGATAATGAACAGTTTGTCGACTGCTTTGCTGTCGATGTTTTCAATTGCTTGTAAGATCAGTCTCAGCAGAATGTGCATAGGAAGAGGTCTTTCATTTAGCACAACGTTACTATTTGGGAGGGAATCACTTATAATCTTCGAAAGTTCTGGTAAGGAAAACTGCTTATCGTCAATAATAATCGAGTAGTCCATATCGTCCTGTGACATTTCTTCCAACCTGTCCAAAACGTATTGTTTGTCGACGTCTTCTTCATAAATAACATATTTTTTTACAAAATCGGGAAGGAACATTTTAATATTTTCTTCTGAAAATCCAGCTTCTTGTGCATATTTTTTAATTAGCCTAGCAATAATTCCCAGTCTTATTGGTTTACCGTTGTAGTTGATAATACTTGCGCCAGGATTTGTTTTTATTAATTCGATTAAATTTGAGATGCTGACTTGATTTCCAAGAAACGAGACCTGAAGTCCAGACAATTCTACTGGAACATTTCTATATTCAATATCTAGTTTTTCGACTGCAATATTTTCAATGTTATCAATCGCTTGTATAATAAGTTTTAGCAATATTTGAATTGGGATAGGGTTTCCATTAATCACCACAGCACCATTAGGGTCGGTATTACTCAATAACATCTGAAGTTCTGGAAAGCTAAACTGTTTATCGCTTATTATGATGGAGTAGTCCATACCGTCCTGTGACATTTCTTCCAACCTATCCAAAACGTACTGTTTGTCGACGTCTTCTTCATAAAAAACATATTTTGTTACAAAATCGGGAAGGGACATTTTAATTTTTTCTTCTGAAAATCCAGCTTCTTGTGCATATTTTCTAATTAGCCTAGCAATAATTCCCAGTCTTATTGGTTTACCGTTGTAGTTGATAATACTTGCGCCAGGATTTGTTTTTATTAATTCGATTAGATTTGAGATGCTGACTTGATTTCCAAGAAACGAGACCTGAAGTCCAGACAATTCTACTGGAACATTTTTATATTCAATATCTAGTTTTTCGACTGCAATATTTTCAATGTTATCAATCGCTTGTATAATAAGTTTTAGCAATATTTGAATTGGGATAGGGTTTCCATTAATCACCACAGCACCATTAGAGTCGGTATTACTCAATAACATCTGAAGGTCTGGAAAGCTAAACTGTTTATCGCTTATTATGATGGAGTAGTCCATACCGTCCTGTGACATTTCTTCCAACCTATTCAAAACGTACTGTTTGTCGACGTCTTCTTCATAAAAAACATATTTTGTTACAAAATCGGGAAGGGACATTTTAATGTTTTCTTCTGAAAATCCAGCTTCTTGTGCATATTTTCTAATTAGCCTAGCAATAATTCCCAGTCTTATTGGTTTACCGTTGTAGTTGATAATACTTGCGCCAGGATTTGTTTTTATTAATTCGATTAGATTTGAGATGCTGACTTGATTTCCAAGAAACGAGACCTGAAGTCCAGACAATTCTACTGGAACATTTCTATATTCAATATCTAGTTTTTCGACTGCATTATTTTCAATGTTATCTATCGCTTGTATAATTAGTTTTAGCAATATTTGAATTGGGATAGGGTTTCCATTAATCACCACAGCACCATTAGGGTCGGTATTAGTTAATAACGTCTGAAGGTCTGAAATACTAAACTGTTTATCGCTTATAATGATGGAGTAATCGATATCGTCCTCGGAAATTTCCGCCAACCTGTCCATAACGTATTGTAAGTCAACATTTTCATCATTACTTATATATTGTATTAGAAATTCAGGAAGAAACATTTTAATGTCTTCTTCTGGAAGTCCAACTTGTAATGCATGCTTTTTAATTAATCTCGCAATGATTCTTACTCTTACTGGCTTGCCTTTGTAGTCGATAACATGTTTGTTGGTATTTTGGTTGATTAATTCAAGGAGGTCTGAAATGCTGACTTTATTTCCGAAGAAGAATAGTTGCCGATCGAACAATTCTTTGCTTAGTGGCATATTTGTAATTTCTGGCATATTGTTTGGACTATTGTTTATGCTTCCAACTTCCAGGTTATCAACTTCATTATCGTCAATGTTATCAATTGCTTCTATAATAAGTCTTAACAGAGTGTTCATTGCAATGCGATTACCATTTATTTCTACACTATCGTTGATATCTGTACTCCTTATAATCTGTTGTAGATCTGATATAGTAAACTGTTTATCGTTTACAATAATTACGTAATCATTTTCGTCTTGCGACATTTCTTCCAACTTTTGCAAAACGTATTCGGAATCGCCATTTTCATCATAACTAAGATATTGAAGTGCCGTGTTAGGAAGATATGTATTAAGGTCCTCCTCTGGAACATACTTTTTAATAAGTCTTGTAATAATTCTTAGTCTAACTGGTTTGCCGTTGTAGTGAACAACATGTTTTTCAGAATTTTGTTTAATTAACTCTAAGAGTTCCGAGATGCTGACTTGATTTCCAAAAAAGGAAACTTGCTGTTTAGACACTTCTTCTGGTATGGCAATGCGTGTCTTTGGTAAATTTTTATTTAATAGTTTATCAACTTCATTATTATCTATATAGTCAATTGCTTCTAAAACCATCTTTATCAAATTGTTTAGTGTAACCAAGTTATTGTTTATGCTCATAATGACCTCTGGATGGGTAATCTCTATCATCTTTTTTAGTTTTGAGACTTTATATTTCTCGCCTTTAATATCAATATTGATATTTTTACCGACTTTCAACAGATCTGTCAACTTGTCCAGAACGTATTTAGAATTGCCCTTTTTATTATAAGTAAGATATTTTTGTGATTGTATAGGAAGATATTCTTTGAGGATGTGTTCTGGAAATCCAGCTTTTTGTGCAAATTTTTTAATTATTCTTGCAATAATTTCCACCCTTATTGGTTTGCCGTTGTATTTGATAACATTTGCGCCAGGATTTTGTACAATTAAATCGATTAGATTTGATATGCTGACTTGATTTCCAAAGAAAGAAACTTGCTGGTCACATAATTTTCCTGATCTGGCAATGAATAGCTCTTTGTTTTTATTGTCTGAAAATTTGTTTCTACTTTCAACTAGCAGATTATTATCTTGTAGTTTATTAACTTCACCTTGGTCAATGGTATCAATCGCCTTAATAATAAATTGAATCATAGTTTGAATTGGAAGAAGGTTCCCATTTACCACCACAGAACTATCAGCGTTGTTATTACTTAATAATGACATAAGATCTACTACACTAAACTGCTTATTGTTTATAATGATGGAGTATTCGTTATCATCTTCCAACATTTCCGCCAACCTGTCCAAAAGATATTGTATTTCGTCATTTTTATCATAACTAAGATATTGTTTCAAATTTTCAGGTAGATACAATCTAAGGTTTTCTTCTGCAACTCCAGCTTGTAATGCGTGCTCTTTAATTAGCCCCACAATAATTCTTATTCTAATTCGCTTGCCGTTATAGTTGATAACGTGCTTTTCGGTATTTTGTTTGATTAATTCAAGAAGATCTAAGATTCTGACTTGATTTCCAAGGAAGAGAACTTGCTGGTCAGATAATTCTTTTGGCATAATTGGCGTACTTTGTGGTATGTTTGTATTACCACCTTCCAGTTTATTTACTTCATCATTGTCAATGTTATCAATTGCATGTACAACAAGTCTTAATAAATCTTTAATTGTAATATTGTTTTCATTTATTACTAGACTGTCAGTAGGTTTTTTATTTTTCTTTATAATCACTTGAAGTTCTGGTATGGTAAACTTTTTATCACTTATAATAATGGAGTTATCATCATCTTTCGACATTTCTTCCAACAATTGCGAAACGTATTCAGAATCGCCATTTTCATCATAATCGAGATATATTTGTGCAAATTTAGGAAAATACTTTTTAAGTTCATCTTCCATCACCCCAGCATTTAATGCGTGTTTTTTAATAATCTTAACAATAATTCTTTTTCTTACTGGTTTACCGTTGTAATCTATAACATGTTTTTCAGCATTTTTTGTAATTAATTTTAAAAGATCCGAGATGCTGACTTGATTTCCATAAAAAGAAACTTGCTGGTCAGATAATTCTTTTGGCATAATTGGCGTACTTGGTGGAATTTTTGTATTTTCATCTTCCAGTTTATTTAATTCATCACTGTCAATGGTATCAATTGCATGTACAACCAGTCTTAATAGATCATTAATTGTAAAGATGTTTCCATTTATTTCTATATTGTCAGTAGGATTTATATTACTCCTTGTAATCACTTGAAGTTCTGGAATGGTAAACTTTTTATCACTTATAATAATGAAGTTATCACTATCATCTTCCGACATTTCCTCCAATAATTGCGAAACGTATTCAGAATCGCCATTTTCATCATAATCAAGATATGTTTGTGCAAATTCAGGAAAATACTTTTTAAGTTCATCTTCCAATACCCCAGCATTTAATGCGTATTTTTTAATAAGCTTGACAATAATTCTTTTTCTTACTGGCTTACCGTTGTAGTCTATAAAATGTTTTTCAGTATTTTCTGTAATTAATTTTAGGAGATCCGAGATGCTGGCTTGATTTCCAAGGAAGAAAACTTGCTGGTCAGATAATTCTCTTGGCATGGCAATGTGAGTATTTGTTGGCATATTTGTATTTTCTTGCAAAATTTTTATATTTTTATCTTCCAGGTTATTTACTTCTTCATTGTCAATGTTATCAATTGCCTGAATAATATGCTTTAATAAATTGTGCATTGTTATGGAGTCTCCATTTATGTCTATACTTTTATTTGTTCTAATAATCTTTTGTAAATCTGTTATAGTA